TTGGAGCAGGATATTGTTCTGCTGGTTATAGGGGACAATGGGTACAATGACCGTCTGTGTGAACAGGTCTTTGTGAAGATCAGCATGGCCCTGCTGATTCCCTGCCTCGCAGGGGCCACCACAGGCCAGAAAGCAGAGATCTAAACCCCATCAAAACCCAACCCCAGCTGCTCTCTGCCAATCGCATGGTGCTGCTGGTGGTACCCTGGTCCCAGACGAGATGTGCCCAGGGCTGAAAAATATTTTGCAACACTTCCAGGATCTACCAAAAAACACACGAGTTAAAGCACAGCAGCTCCACAAGCTTTATCACTGAATGCAGTAACACCCCAATCCCCCCCACCCCTCCAAAGAACGCTTTTTCTTGACTTGTGGATACGATAAAGCTGGGCTTGTAGACATCGTTCTCGATGTTGGCCAGGCTCTTGGCGATCAGCTTGGTCTGAACCTTCCTTGAACGCAGGATGATCTGGGTCCGTGGCTTCAGGTAGAGGATACTGCAGTAGGCCTGCAGAGACAGAGAGGGGGCGCTAATGTGCACGTCACGGGGAAAGCCACAAGGAGACACATAGGCTGCATCCACACTGGGCTTGAAGGAATTTCGAGAGAGAACTGAGCTGTCTACAGCAGACCAGAACGAGTTCTTCTGTTTGTTGATCATAATATTGGCTTGCTGTCATTGTTTACTTAATAAAAATTAATGGAAAGCAAAGCCTTGCAATATCGTATTCGTCACTGGCCTGGCTCATCGCCTTCCAAATACATGTTCACACTTGTAGTCCCAGAATGCAGCAGAGCAGTTCTCAGCTCAGTGTTGTCCTGCACACTGAGTAAACTACTTCATCTGCCTTCACAGCCTTCCTCTTGGACACATAATTCATTCTGAGCCAGTTTTCAATGTGCACACCCCCATCTCCCCCATCTTCTGCTCACTACAAGGTAAACCATAAGGAACAATGAACCACCACTGCAGCAGACTCTTCACATGCACTCACTAGATGCACCAGCAATGCCTGCGTCAGTTTTAGCCATATGTACCGTAATTGTATACCCACTGCGCCCTGTATCCAAGCATTTCCTTATCTGCAATGCCTCGTGGGCCTTCAATCCGTGTCAGAGGGATAGACGTGGGCAGCTACCAGTGTTGTGATCTTAAGGCCAAAAACCATTGCTATTTTGTTCACAGTGCCCAGTGCAGGCGTTAAGCTTATGTATTGGGAACAGTCAAATAATTTGCTGTAATTGTTGCGTCTAATTAACAGCTAATTAAATAATTAATGAGCAGCATTTAGTGATTGTCTTGCTATATATGGTATAGGCCACCTAAGCCAAATACAACATTCTAATCTTGATGTGTTAGAAAACATTTCTTCTATTCCTTCTGTAGTTTGTCAGGCCCTGTTTTTCTGAATCTTAGACAGACTTAAAGGAATGCTTTCCTCATTGACGAAGGCTTGCAGTTCCCTGCAACCCCCACCCTGCAACACAGACTTGTGCATCTGCAAACAGGCCGATGAAGAAACATCAAACGTTATTTAGGGAGTAACTGTCTGTCTCAAGGGCACAGCACTGTAGCCACTCAACAAACCACGAACGCTTCAGAGCACGGAGAAAGATCACAGACAAAAACAGGGACTGGGAAAGATCAGGGATGTTGAAGGCAGTGGCCGTCTTCCAAGAACATATCAGTTGTTGGCTGGAAAAAGTGAAAACCTCCCATATCACAACGACTTTCTGTAAGATGCACGAAGACGTCCCGCAGGATCTAAGAAGATAACAGTGTTTCTAGATTCCTGCAAGCAGTCCTTTACTTCCTTCCCCAAGAAAGGCATCATGCCTGTCAGAGAACCTCGATGGGATTTCCTGTGTTTCCATCTGTGTGTGTACGGCATGTATTACTATTGATGAGGGACAAATTTCCCAGCAGACTCCTAATACACATCACTCTGGTTTTTAAAACAAAGGGGCAAGTTGTTTAAACACAAAAGTCACTAAATATTTGTTTTGTATCTGCCACTATCCCCAAAGAGCAGTTTGGGATACTAATTAAAATCGCATGATAGGCAGCAGGTAGTTCCCATACAATTGTTGCCACATGTTTGTATGTGGACATTACAGACCGTGTATGCATGATCAGGACTCTGAAGGACTCACTCACCTATCTCCACAGCACTGTTATGCTTCTAACAAGGACTTGATTCATAAAGAGATAAGTGGCCTCTTAATATCTGCCACCTATCCTATCCTGATGGTCACTACAGGCCGGGGAAGTGACTGGAGTCCCTGGTATTGGCAGGAGCCATTCTGGTGAGTGAGAACGAGCAACTCTAAACGATGCCTTTGCACTCACTCACGCTAACATGTCGAGAGAGAGAGAGAGCGAGTGTCCAGTCGCACGCTGTCTGCACCACAGAGCAAAACACCTCCTCACTATCGGGAGAGCAGCCAGTGTTAAATGGTGAGAAGCCTGAAGGGTGGGAATGCTGTAGCAGCTGTCCTTCTGGTAGCTGGGACTGGTAGGTATAGGAGGAACCCAGTTTGTGCTGGATGTTCTTCACAATGTGAGCAGCCCTTGTTGCTTCGCCAGCTTTGTACCTCCCTTCCTCCCTTCTGCCACCTTCCTCCATTTCTCATCTGCCCCCATTTCTGCAATTTGCCCCCCCCATCCCCCAACTCACCCACCCCAACCTCCTCACTGACCCTCAGGGAGTAGTCCATTTCGGGCACGGATTGATCAGTCCTCTCTGGTCCTGGAAATCTCTTCTTCCCTCCTGTCCTCATCTCCTCCGGACGGATATCGGGCATCCGGATATCGTACTTATCCGTCTCGAAGTCGAGCTCTGGCTTCCCATCCTTGTTCCTGGAAGAGAGATTTCGGGAAGATGGGAGATGGGCTCTGAGCAGCTGATGTGCGGTCTGAGTGTGAGTAATAACAGACTGCACAGGCTGCACTGGAGGGCCAACACTGCTGGCCTGGAGCTGTGTGCTGTCAGCAGATCAAGCGAGATACCTTGCGGCACCGCCTTCCTTTAACTGGCAGCCGCCCAGTAAGTTTCTGTTGGAGGGCTTTCAGGAAATCATTTGGAAGGCCACTGACAGCCTTGTTGGACCCAGGTAGGGGTCAAAGTGCAGAACACAGAGAGTAACAGAAACCTCTGTGCTGCCTAAGTGCACAGCCCCTGCCCTTGAACCTGCTGACCCGCAGATTATTTACGTCACCGAGGAACAGCGCATCCAGATCGCAAAGCAGGAAGTAGCCAGAAAAAATCCGCAGCCCAAAACAGGAAAGACCTGAACCTGAATTGCATAAATACTGGTGCAAACTGCCCTGCACGCAATATAATCCTTTGCAACTTAATGGCTCAAGAACACTGGATATGCAGGCTGGATTCTTTTCTACACTTTTCAAGGCATACATTTCAAGACTACATGGGGCATTTTAGCAAAACCAGCTCTGCTTTTCAAATGGTTGAGAGATATAATGTTACTATAATATTTTCACTCTTTATACATTTTCTTCTTCAGTGCACTCAAACGGTTCTATGCAGCAACCCTGTCTTCTGGCAGTGTTTGGCAAAGCTGTCCCTCAAGAGACATGTGCGGTACACTGCAATTCCAACTGGGCTATTTTTATTATCTATTATACGAGCTTGCGAGTGTGACCACATATGGGGAGGTGCCAGGCTGACCGCTAGCATGGCATGCCCACCTGCGGATGTTCCAGATGATGATCTTGGTGCCCTTCTTGCTGGGAATGGTGTCAAACTGCTCCAGCAGCTCCTCCTGGGTGCTGAACAGGGAGTGGGTGAGGATGGCGTTCAGACTGGCGGCCGAGTCCTCCGTCACAATCAGGTTCTGTGAGAAACCGGGTCAAGGAGAACACTGGGACACTGCGGCGGGGGAGTCTGCTCTGTGCACCAGCATCCTTTGCCCAGAGACTGGATTCGGGGTTCTGACCCAGAAACGGCTTACAATGTGCATGAGTGAGCTGAGAGAGAGACCAACTGGAGTGCACAAGGGACCGATACTCTCCCCTGTCCTGTCCACTCCAGTTTGCACATGTAGCAAAAGGGACCCAGGCTGAGCAGTAGACATTTCATACTGACTCTCCTGTACCGGGAAAAGCCATTTTCTAACGTACTGAGTGTTGAATATGACCGCTAACCTGTATTCATCTGTAACCACTTCTAGGTCTTTCTAACTCTTGCTGGGTCCCCCAAGCATCAGGAACTCCCCAGTCCCAGGCAGCTACTCGAACTACCAGCCTTCCCTGTCTACACCTCTCAGCAGCCCCTGGCACCTCGTGGTCTTCCCTGTCTCCGCTGTCTCGTACAGCCAGATCCCTCACTCTCGCCCTCATCTTCAGGCGGCCAGGCCTCTCATCCTTGGGGCAGGATATTGTTCTGCTGGTTAAAGGGGACGATGGGCACGATGACGGCCTGCGCCCGGATCTTCTCCAGGTAGGTCTGGGACAGCAAGCCCACGCTCAGACATCCCCCGTTCTTCGTGAAGATCAGCGCGTCCTTGCCCAGCCGCATGGAGCCCGACTTGAACCCGTTGCCATAAACCCCAATGGGCTGGTGGCTCTTGCTGGAGCTCTTGTCCGTGAAGCCGAAACTGCAGAGGTGGAGAGAGAGCAAGATGCAGAAGTAAAACAATGCAGGAGCCCACCCATGACACAACCTCTGACAAAGACAACAGTCTTTATAGTATAGAACACCGTGCATGACATCATCTTAAGGCTCCTTGCAGAGAAACATGAAGAAAGCACAGACAACCGAGATGCATGGATACAGCTGAAGGAATTGCACCTGAAAATCCTAACCTCCCAGAGCTGAAATGGACACAGATCAAGGTGTGCCACCAGCAATGAGTCAGTTCAACAAAAAACGTTTTAGTTTTAACATGAAAATACCCAAGCATGATCAGAATAATAGATATATTTGAGACCGAAAACAAGTGCCCAGCTGATTAAGTAAATGAAAAAGTATCTGTACAGAATTACAGTATGTAGTATATACTCATTCACTATCATAATGCTGTACATGCGCACACAGGGACAATTCAGAGACACTTATTATTATTGCAGCCCGCATTTCTATGAGAAATAACACAAACTTTACACAGAAGGACTTCTAGTCTGGAGTGCAACTCAAAACCTGCGAAACACAACTGCAATGCCAAAATGTCACTGTATACATTTATCAAAATGTATTTATATATGTGTATATAAGTATATCTTTGGGACACACTATAATATAATCCGCCATTATATTGGTTCAGACAATGACAAGATTCTTATCCAACCAACAGCACTGAACCATGTTCCCTGCTTACTTAGCAGATTCTCTGTGCTGTGTTAATGAATGGAATTAAAACCTCTCAGTAAAGAGAGATTCATTGTCTGGCTTTACAGTGTGAAAAGTGTGATGACACCTTCTAATCTAAACTAATCTCTTACATTCCTGTTACATCACTAATGTCCCATCACAGGACAAAATCTAAAAAAAACTATGCAACATTTGCAATGACTTCACTTGCAACCCCCAGCAATGAAGACACCTAGAGCAATTTTCAGAACATCAGAGAAAACATAACACTTTACTAAAATCACAGGAATCAATAGAAGAGAAGCTGAATTGCCTTAACACACAACATAGAGCATTACCAAGCCTCTTCCGAGACATGCACGTTTTTGCACACAAGAATGGGCCCTTGAGGAACACCTCCATATGGGAATAGGCCATGGGGAACACCTGCACACAGGAATTGGCACATAAGGAACACCTGCATGTGAAAATAGGCCCATGAGGAACACCTCCACACAAGAATGGGCCCATGAGGAACACCTCCACACGAAAATCGGACCATGAGGAACAGCAACACGTGAGAATGGGCCCGTGAGGAACACCTGCATACATGAATGGGCTCATGACAAACACCTCTGCACAAGAGTGGGCCCACGAGGAACACCTACACCTGACCAACCAGAAAAACCCCGGACTGTTACCAAGTATTCAAATCTCGTATAACACCTAATACAAGAGAGATAAACCTATATAAATAAATCCAAATGCAATAAAGTGAAGGGGACCCTATGCCTATTCTAAAAAAATCCACTAACCAGAAAAGACTGTTTTTGACCTCGGGATTCTCTATACAGGAAATCAGAGTTTCCTAAAAACTCAGAGCAGCCAGCTCTCTTAAAAAGGTTCAGATACTTAACTTGAATCTGGCCTTAAAGGCTGACTGGAACAAGGTACTCCCTCTTGGCATTGTCCTTCGCGTCCTCTTATGCCATCTTTCCTATTTTTCTCTCTTCTTTCGCTCCCATTCTTTTTTATCCTGTTTTCCCGGACTGTTGATGACTCTTCATAATTTACCAAGAACTTAACTGAGGTAAACCAGACAAGTTCTTCGATCACTGTGTCTCTAACCCCCTACACCTCAGCAAACGTCTCAGTTTCTTTCTAGCTTTGAAGCTCCTCAGTACTGCAAAACTTGACATTACCCTTGTCTCCAGATTCTTAGGAGACCTCAATAGTTGAAAAACCATTGATAGTCACCTTCAAAACAAACTAAATACTGAGATTCATGGTGCAATTAGTTTAATTTATTTCCAAAAAACGCAGATCTGATGGATACAAACATACTCTAACACCAGCTCTTCCACCTGAAGTGTTAAACACCTCATTTAGTGTCGTTGCTACACATGACAGAATCTGATTTACTGAACAATCACTGTGGAATGTGGACGACAGAACACAGAACTGTAAGGGAAACAGTTACACACACAGGCACATACACACTCTCTTGTGCGTGCTCTCCCAGGCACTGATACACTCACACCCCACCACAAACTCACACCTCGCGTACACAAAAATAGCAACAACTGATCCTCTGTCACACACCTTGAACTTCCTCGGCCTGGATCAGATAAGCGTGGCACCCCAGGATATGAGAAACTGTCACATGCTGAAATATCTACACATCAGATCACAGGGCTTTTTTTACTGTTGTTGTTTTTTTTTTTTGGTGACGAATGTCATCTGTTTACCACGTCTGTGAGAGAGTGACACACAGCCAGAGAACCACACTCTAAGAAGAAGCAGCACCCTTAGGGAGAACCCAAACTCCTTATTAGCAGTAGTCTCCAAGCCTGCAGGACAGCACCCCCTGCTCATCCATCTCCGACGTGGGGCGCACAGCCCAGAAACCCCCCGCCTGTGAAGAGGCTGTGCAAATGCTCTGCACCGCGCTGAGCATTAAACAGAGTAGGAACAAACACGGCCGTCACAGGACTGGCTGTGTGAGTCACACAGGACCAATGCAAAGAGCTGGTATCCATACCACCAGCGGTGCAGACTGTAGACCCACGTCTGTTCTCCGTCTGGGGCACACAGGAACTCCAACTCTACTGGTCATTGCTGGGTGTCTGTCTCTGCACTTTGCTGTTTCTCTCTGCAGTCGAGTACTATTAATAGCATCCTGGCTGCAGCTCAGCTCTGACTCACCCTTCCTCTATCAAACATTCCTTTATTTTCTGAAGACCTTACAGTCTCATCGGTCAGGCGGCTTCGCAGAGAGGATGTACAAAAAAAAAACCCAGAAAAACTGCCCATCCGTCTCTCTATCTGCATGTCTAACCACATATCCAAGTATATGCCCCTAGAAGTGTTGATCAATGCTTAAGAGGGTCTGCAAGTGGTCTAATCATACGGCCTCTGACCCCGAAGAGACTCATCTGACACGAGACCTCTGTTGCGAGAAGAGTGCTGGGAGTCTTTAACGAGCTGACCAGTCGTGGTGTGGGAGCCCAGACCCTGGCTCTGTCGAGGAAGCAGCTGGAGGGGATCCTGGGGTCAATTTCCTACTAGAAATCAAAGCACACAAACAGCCTCCCCGTCTGTAACCTCCCTTATGTATCTTATATGGCCAGCAGCCATATCACCCTGCAACTCACCACTGGCAGCCCACTGAAGCTCAGCAGGTGTGAGCCTGGCCAGTACCTGGATGGGAGACTCCTGGGAAAGCTCAGGTTGCTGCTGGAAGAGGTGTTAGTGGGGCCAGCAGGGGGCGCTCACCACCATGTGGGTCCTAATGCCCCAGTGTAGTGACAGGGACACTATACTGTAAACAGGCGCCGTCCTTCGGATGAGACGTAAAACCGAGGTCCTGACTCTCTGTGGTCATTAAAAATCCCAGGGTGTTTCTCGAAAAGAGTAGGGGTGTAACCCCGGCATCCTGGCCAAATTTCCCATTGGCCCTTACCAATCATGGCCTCCTAATAATCCCCCTCTATGAATTGGCTACATTACTCTGCTCTCCTCCCCACTGACAGCTGGTGTGTGGTGAGCGTTCTGGCGCACTATGGCTGCCGTCGCATCATCCAGGTGGAGCTGCACACTGGTGGTGGTGGAGGAGAGTCCCCATTACCTGTAAAGCGCTTTGAGTGGAGTGTCCAGAAAAGCGCTATATAAGTGTAAGCAATTATTATTATTATTATTATTATTATTATTATTATTATATGGGAGGGTGTTAACGGAGGTCTAATCTTCTAGAGAATGAAAGTAAAAGAGCCTAACCCTACAGCGGTCTTCCTGTCCAGCTGACGGATCTTACTGGAGTGTAGCGGTGCAGCCGGGTTCTGCGAGTCTTGGGCCGCTAAGGGAGAGGTGTGCTGCAGACCACATGGGCTCTGGCTGGCAGGGTAACAGTGGAAGAACACAAGACGGGTCACAAACGAGAGCAGGCGAGTCGGCCCACTTGGTCCTTTTGGCTGCTAGTAGCTAACCAATCCAAGGGGCTCGTCCAGCTGTCTCTGGACAGAAGCCTGGGTGCTGTGCTCCAGACTCTCACAGCCAGGTGCACCCGACTGGAGGAATCTGGTTCCCCTGTGCTGGAATCCAGCCCGGCTCTCACGGTGACGAAACTCTGCTCACAGACCTGCTGTGCCCTCAGTCACCGGCTCTCTCTCTCTCCGTCTCCTGTTTGCTCGCTGTCTTGCGATCTCTGTCCCTCTCCCCCGTGGAGCCCCTTGGGCCTCCCTGCTGTCACGCAGCACACAACACACCCAGCCCTCAGCCCATTCCTGTGGCTGTTTCTGCGAAGCCACAGGTAGCACCTGACTTCAGCCCACAAGCATTTCAAACACGCGGCGCTCCAACGGCGTTGGAAGAAGGGGAGAAACCCAGCCAAGGGGGGGGCGACTGAAAGGAAACCCAGGGTAGCATTTGCCTCCAGTTTCTGCAGAAACACAGGTTTTATGAGCTTGCCGGACAGCATTCCTGTCTCAGCGGGGTCTTGGCTCAGCCGGGGACGATGTTTTTGCCAAGCTCTGCCGCCCAACAGGTGGCAAATGTGAAAAGGGAGGCAGGCCCTGCAGCACACTGGCAGGGCAAACTGGTCTGTGGCCGCGGCGCTGTTTTCACAAGGCCGGGGTGTCTAGATCTGGACCAAGGGGCTGTTATGCTGGGCAGGGAGGACTGAGCCCGAGGCAGAGGACAAACGTGGATTCAACGGAACGCATCGCATTCCACAGTTCCCAAACTTAAGACTCCGAGAAGAAAGAAAAACCTTCACATTCTACTGTTTCTACTGCTTTCTACTGTTTCTACTACTAAAATTTCTACTGTTTGTTTGTATTCTACTCTTTGTTTGTATTCTACTCTTTGTTTGTATATTGTCTTGATGCACTGTCTGCACTTTGTGTTTTTACACTTCTTTTAACAATCGAGAGACTTTCTGTAAGTCAGAATTCCATGGTACCAGTACGTGTACCGGTTACATATGGCAATAAAGTTCATGTTCAGTGGAACTTTTTTTTATACCTCATCTGATAGAATCCACCCCCCCGCCCCCCCCACACCCCAACTCCGGCCGCCTTAGCGGCTGCTTGCCCTCAAAATACAGCTCAATCTTGAAAGCTGTTCCCTGCAAGGCCGGTCTCACTGGTCAAGCTCCGTCAAGGCCTTGCAGGGGAAAACAGCTAACCAAGGCTGCAGACCTTGACGTTATAGATGGTAAACGCCAAATTAGGAGTCTATTTAGATGCTCAGTGTTGTGAAAAAGCAAGATCTCGTTAAAATAATTCCCATAGTTCACTGTGCTTAGTCTTAAAAGAAGAAGTAGTACATGAAAATTTAGAAATCTAACAGGGGTGACTGGTTAGATAGACAGAAGGATAGATAAGCAGTTTGCTAATAGAAAGCCATTTTTGTCTTGAAGACAATGTCCTTGACAAATTAATAAAACAACTTAAAAATATAAACCAAAGCGCCATGCAGCTGTGTAAGACACAGCCGGGACAGTTGGGTTGCATTTTCTGTCGAAGTGGTGCTGGTCAGAGGGCTGTTTCCTCTTCTCAGTGTTGACGGGTTGGCTGGGCCACAGAGCGCTGAGAGGAAGTGTGTGCGTGTGTGAAAGAGACCCCCCCCCCATGCATGTTCCTCAGCTCGTACAGCTGGAGAGCGTGTGGCTGTTCCTGCGTCAGAGGCGAGTGTTGTCGAGAGAGAGAGAGACGTGCACAAAAAAAAGTGCAGAGCTCAAAACACAGCTTCTCGCGCACGCCGAGTGCATCTCTCGGGCTATAAAAAGGTTTCCAGCTTTTATGTTGCTTGAAGGCGGACCGAGACAAGCCCTGCTGCTGGTACGGCTCTTAATCATCATAAAGAAAGCCTGGCGTTCGCAGAGAAGGGTCAGGACTTGACATGTGCTCAGCGTGTGTAAGGCTGTGGGAGTGCGTCACTGTGTGCACAAACACGGAGCACTACCTGACCGGGGCTGTACAAGAACGAAGGCAAAATCACAACAAGCCCCTCGTGCATTTAATTAAACTAGTGGGCAAAATCGTACAAATCAAATTAAATCGCAAACACGAATGTGTAATTAATTCAGAATACTCATCCTATCCTATCATCCTATCTCCACCTTAAAGGGAATACCAAAGAGTTTCCTAGAAAGCAGTAGAGAGAGAAAGCTGACTGTGCATGTGAGCTTTCAGATACACTGTAGTGTTGTTTTTCTAAAGGCCCTGTGAGGGGCCTTATCACCCTGTTTTTAGTTACCGTCAACAACCTTTTAGTTTGAAAGCCCAAGGGCGATGTGGGCATCAGAGTTCATCTTTGATGGATCTCCACATAACTTAAAATACTCATAACCACACAGTATAAAAAACTCCTTGCTTCACAGAGTCACACAAACACCCCTTGATGTGTTACGAGGGAGACTAAACAGACTAGACCGGCCTGGCAGCTTGAGGCTACATGGTGTTGTTTTCATGGGCAATACAAACCGTCTGTGGACTCTGCACGATGATCGAGATGAGATTATAGATCACACACCACAGTCCGCTGTGTCTGTCCTGAATGGCTGCCAGTTTCCTATTCCCAAATGCCATGCGGGGATCCCACTAACATCCCAGGTCGGAGATTCATCAAGCACATGATTAAACATCCCTGCTGCTTCACAACACTATCAAGAGACTCACGTGTCCAGGACTCATAGTCACACCTGGGGAAATATCCAACTGTACAAAGTGCAGGAATTTTAAAACCATGTAAAACCATGGCCAGCCAGTGGTGTCCCAGGGGATCAGAGTCAGGAATCAGGGGAGACAGGGACTGGAGGAGACATCTGACCTGTGCTGATGCACAGTGTTGAAGGTCACAACATCGGAAGGCCAGGGTCTATCCCAAGCCCTGTTCCTGCACGCTCACGCACAGTTCTTCCTGCGTGCGTGGACACTCGTGGGGTTTTATGGTTGAAATGCACACTCATTACACACACAGAAAACCTCCACCTACCAGTCAAACCCATCTGTGCCTGACAGAGCACACTGCTCTGGCCCTGGACGGGCCACAACACCTGCTGTTCCAGCTCTGAGTTACACAGCTGAACCTTGAACCGACTTCATCGGGACCTTAGTTCAAAATGTTTGACTGTTTTCAGTCAAACAAAACTGTTTCTAACGAT